GTCGTCGCACACCCCCGTCAGATCATCGTCGCAGACCACACCCCCGCAGAAGACCAAAAGACCCCGAGACTCCACTAGCCGGTCTGTTTCGAGTGATCCTGATCGTCGCCCATCGAAGCGTTTAAGTACCCCCTTGCGAAATAGGAAACGGCCAACTCCCGAGCAACGGCTCTCGAGTGACGACGATGACGCAAGTGACACGGATACATCATTTGAGTTGCGCAAGCGGGCAAGAACGGAGGATAGTGCGGAGCCTGACCTCGCGAGGCGCATACGGTCTCTGAAAGCATTTTCGGAGGAGAATGTTAAACCACTGCCGTTGGTCCACGCTGCAGATATTACATCCAAGCAAAAAGCTGGAAACTTCAAACGCGCGTTTGGTGGGGCGGACCGGCCGACGGAGATTCTTCTGCAGTATCCTAGTGCTTCACTGAAAGAAAGGTACGCAATTCCGGTCTAGTGATACCCATAATCCTGTCTAACTGCTTGGTTTGGTGTAGATTCAACCTCGTCGTGCCCCGCGACAACGATGATTTCAAGCCTATTGATGATATCGTTCATGTTATCGACACCGTTTTTGAGAACTATATTCCTGAGAGCGAGGCGGATTTCTTCAACAATGAATCAACAGGCATCAAACGGAGATTGCGTCGAGCTTTGGCACATTCGTCCGAGACGGAATTTCGAGAAGCTGTGGCCGACTACAATCATCAGATCGACCAGTTAAGACGTAGTGGGGCCATTGCTAAGCATTTGGACGCGACACATCGGTTGAGCCTGCCGCTGGTAGAGAGGATATTGACACAGATTTACGCCCGTACTGTATCCCCTCGAGTTGAATCTCTTCGCCGGTACGAAAATGGAACAGACAACGTTTACGGGGAGCTCCTGCCTCGTTTCATCAGCACAATCTTCAAAGAAACTCGACTAAAATCGGGGCAAGTCTTTGTCGATCTGGGATCTGGGGTTGGTAACGTGGTTTTGCAAGCTGCGCTTGAAATTGGATGTGAAAGTTGGGGTTGCGAGATGATGGCCAATGCTTGTGACCTGGCAGAACTTCAGCAGGCCGAGTTCAGAGCACGCTGCCGGCTCTGGGGTATTGCGCCAGGGAAAACACACCTTGTCCGCGGCGACTTTCTGCAAGAGCAAAGCATCATTGATGTTCTGAAACGCGCAGATGTTGTTCTGATCAACAACCAAGCCTTTACACCTCAGCTCAACAATGAGATTATCAATCACTTCTTGGATATGAAGGAGGGCTGCCAGATTGTGTCTCTCAAATCTTTTGTCCCTGCCGGTCACAAGATTCAGTCTCGCAATTTGTACTCCCCGATCAACCTTTTGAAGGTCAAACAGTTGAATTACTGGTCAAACAGTGTCAGCTGGACTGACGTTGGGGGCACATATTTTATTGCCACCAAAGATAGTTCCAGGCTCAAGGCTTTTGCGGATAGCATGGAGTGAGCGAACTCGATCACTGCATCATGATTCATTCATTACTGTTGCATGGCATTACGACTAAGGATGCACAACCCCTGGCATTACCTCGCCTTTTTGACATTTTGATTTTTATGTGAATATTTCCGCATTGGGTACCCCCGTATATATCGGCATGTCTGTTGACATTCTTTTGGGCCATGCCTTGGAGCAATGAGTTTTCTTTTGGAAATATTCTCTCTTGTTCCGTGATACCTTTTTGTTATGATGATCCACCATCCTTTTTGGCATACTCCATCAATCCCATCGCAAGATGGCCTTCATGTCATATTCCATGTGCGCGAATCTTAGGGGTGAAGGCCAATTTGAGACCAAATGAAGAGACGCACGCTGTCTGCGGTGGCTCTGGGCCAGCCGGATTGACCATTGGGTGCACTCTTGGATACCATTTCTTGTATGAATAGATGAGTTAGTTAGACGGGGACTGTATCAATCTTATGTACATAGAAAATTGTTAACCGGGGATGGCATGTTGAAGCTGGTCGCTCTTTTTGGGACTCTGATTCCCCTAGTTAAGCCCCCGTTGGTGATGCAGCTCAGGAGAATTTCGAGGCATCATTCATGGCTTCTGCTTCTCTGCCAATCCTGGCCATCCAGCGGTCAATCAGCTCCTGGTTCTCACGCTGTAGCCTGCTGGATCGCTCTTCGGCCATGTTAAGCTGCAGATTCAGAGTCGCGAGTTCGTCTTGGAAGTCCTACGAAGCGATCGTATCAGCAAACAAGTGGCGGCATGGCGGACGAATGAAAGACATGCCTCGAGTAACTTGGCCTTCCCCTTCAATTCTGCATCCCTATCCTTTACGCGCATTTGTAGATGAGTTACTTCACTCTCCAAAGCATGGATACGTCTTCCATCTTGCGTGCTTCTCTTCCGTAGATTCTCCAACTCGGTGCTCAGCTCAGTCAGCCGGGCCTGCAACTCCGAACGAGCGCGTTGGGCTTCGGAAAGATCCGCACGTGTAGCTGCTAGAATATCAGGAACAGATGGGCCTGCCAACGACTTCCCAGCTGCAGGGATCGCTGTATGTTTGTCTCCAGCCCATGTGAGATATTGGGCACCTTGAGCTCCAGCGGACGCAATTCGGCTAGTTCGATCGGCCAGCTGCGTATCTAGTCGACGACAGTTTGTTAGATTATCCTCTTACAAAGGCTTCGCAGTCGCCAGGCCATAGACCTTATCCAGTGGCATACAAGCATTATAGAGAGCGATATTTGCCCTTTCTCGGCGGTCGCGCGCCGCCAGAGCGGCGGAGTACTCATTCCTCCAGTGAGTCATGTGATAGTCTTCCGGCGAGGAGGCGGGGCAGTTGACAGCGGTTCTTGTCGGGTTACGAATACATTTTTATTCCTGTAGATAGCGCAGATCAAAGAGGACGGTGGAATAGCATACAGTGCTCGACATGGCATTCTATGGCAGGCAACGAACGGTTGTTGATAAGCGACGATAACGAATAATGTCTCAGGCACCCACTTACACCGCCTCGGCCACCGCTCGGGCCATCATGCATCATCGAACCCAACGGTCCCAGTTAGCGTCGGCTCCACACTGCAAGACCCAACAGCTGCGCTGCTAACTGTTGCTGCTCCTCATCTCTGCTACATACGTCCAGTACACCTCTACACTTTCGCCTTCTGACGACTGCAGACAATCTCATCCTCTGGCACTACTGCGCTTTTGACAGGCTTTCCGCATCCCCCTTGTCTTTTGCTAAGATATCCTGCCTTTCCCCCGCTTTCCACCGCCATGGCGTCACGCAAGAAGGTCTTGCTGAAGGTACATCTTCCTCAATGCATACGACAGTCAGGGCTCTTTAAATTGCTGAGTGTTTACTTACGTACCTTTGGGGCTTCTAGGTAATCATTCTGGGCGACAGTGGTGTTGGCAAAACGAGCTTGATGAATCAATATGTCAGTGGCCTCATCTCGGCGATTTATGGATATCGTCCAAACCGCTAACCTCCATCCGATCGGTAGGTCAACAAGAAGTTCAGTGCAAGCTACAAGGCCACTATCGGCGCCGATTTCCTCACGAAAGAGGTGCTCGTAGACGACCGTCTGGTAACAATGCAGGCATGTGTACCACCCATGGCTCGCATATTCGCCGAGGATTGCGAATTAACCTGTGGATAGATCTGGGATACTGCGGGTCAAGAGCGATTTCAGTCTTTAGGCGTTGCATTCTACCGGGGTGCGGATTGCTGTGTTCTGGTATACGATGTGAATAATTCCAAGAGCTTCGAGGCTCTCGACAGTTGGCGCGATGAATTCCTCATTCAAGCGAGCCCTCGCGACCCGGAGAGCTTTCCTTTCGTACGATCCTCCCTTGCCACTCCCTGACCTTTGATGTGCAAACGGGCAGATGCTGACCAGTTCCAGGTTGTGATCGGCAACAAGATTGATGTGGAGGAAAGCAAGCGGATGATTTCTTCGAAACGCGCCATGACTTTCTGCCAATCGAAGGGCAACATCCCTTACTTCGAGACAAGCGCTAAGGAAGCAGTCAACGTGGAGCAAGCATTCGAGGGTATGTGACCAGTTTTCGCTTAAACATGAACAGAGAGCGCTGTGCTAATATGCTGAAAGTCATCGCCCGAAGCGCCCTGGCTCAAGAAGAGGCTGAGGAGTTCAACGGCGAATTCAGCGATCCCATCAACATCCACCTCGATAGTGACCGTGATGGTTGTGCTTGTTGATGCGCTTCTGAGATGGCCATGACATTTGAACGATTTACAACACCGCTGCTATTCTTGATTCATTCATGTCGTGCGTTTGTGGTTTGTAGAGCTGTTTCTTTCTTCGTTCCATTTGGCGAGCTTGGAGGATTGTACTTTCTACGATAGTTTGGGATCCATATATACCTTCAAAGTTCCTCGGTGTACCAAGTTGCCTGTTTCCTATTGTCTGTCGGGTCGCAAAGGGTATCATATGGGTTTCGAGCTTTTTGACTCTACTTTTCCTTGCTTATCGGTGATAACCTTTTGCTTTTTCGACAGCATACTCAATCAATCGAGAGTCACGCACATAATCCTGCTGCACATGCGCTTATTTTCTTTGTAGCTCCTATCATTTAATTAAAAATAAGGAGATTGAACTTTCAGCGCAAGAAGAAGCAAAAATGGTACAGGTATGCCAGTAGCAGCCGTGATCACGTCTCGTGCCTTATCAGGCCGCTCGTGATGCTTGGCATATATTCCGGGATCAGCGACATCTCCATGATCGGAATGTACCCCCGCTTCAAGGCGCTCACGCTGAAACACTACGGACCAGGCCATCTACCATCGACACCGCCTATTGCCAAATGTGATTTATGGACTCGAATCTCCATCCTAGTATCGGCGCGCCACGATTTGCAGGATATCGTGCTCCATGATCCATGATCACAAATTGGTCTAATCGGTCGGGTACCTTCAATCAATGACCAGGCTCCTCGTCGCTCGTTTCTTCAAATTATCTTTATGAAAATCGTTCTGTTCCCATAAGTTGTTCAATACTACAACTTGCCCATGTTGACATATAGTTGGCATGGTCCCAGCTGGACTGGGGCCGCAAGACGGTCGCTAGGTATCTGTCTCCTACTACTCGTGGTGGTCTTGTGGACGGCTTCGAACTTTCTGGCTAGTGTATGTGCATGTCAAGAAGAGACTTCCGAAATGATCGTGTTTGATGCTGTGCATCTGGGACTTTGTTAGGGCTGGTATCCTGCTACACGCGTGCTAACTGTACATTTTCCATCCCTTTCTAGACCATCTTCGCGGATAATTCATATTCGAAACCGTTCTTTGTGACCTACATCAACAGCTCGCTGTTCATTATTCCTCTCTTCTCGATCATCCTGGGCAGACTATTCAAACTATGGCGCCAGGGTAGATTGTCTCAGATCGATTCTATTCAAAGCCTGTTGCTCCATCTTGATTCGCACGATTCGAAGCGCGAGGCACCCGACGTGCTGCATCCCTCCTCTTTCGCAGATAGACAACAGAGTGAGAACGAAGTTGATAACTCTAGCAAGCTGGGCTTGAGGGCGACTGCGAAGTTGAGCTTCCAATTTTGTCTATTATGGGTGAGGAATTGGCATGACAAGCACTTTCAATATACAAGCTAACAAGCATGAATAGGTCCTTGTAAGTTAACTACTGCCAACATACCAGCTTTGAGCCGGTGCCTGACTTATACAGGCGAATTATTTCGCAATGGCCTGTCTGCAATACACAACAGTAGGAAGTACCACCATCCTAACTTCAACTAGCGGTATGTGCTCAGCAATCCCACGGGGATCGATTGGTAAGTTCGAGGCTAACACATCCTTCCAGGGGTCTGGACCCTCATCTTCGGCGCAATGATCGGGGTGGAACGGTTCACCGTCCGCAAACTCGCCGGCGTTATCGCTTCCCTGATCGGAATCATCCTCATCTCCCGAGTAGATCTGTCGTCAACGGACTTCCCGCCCGCAGATGATGGCAGTTCGGGTACCTTCCCCCACAAGACGACCGCCGAGATTGCCCTCGGCGATGCGATGGCCGCATTCAGCGCTGTCATGTACGGCGTCTACACTATCGTCCTAAAGAGGCAAGTTGGTGATGAGTCGCGGGTCAATATGGTGCTGTTCTTCGGGCTAGTGGGACTCTTTAATATGCTCTTGCTCTGGCCGGGATTCATCATCTTACATTTCACCGGGATCGAGCCGTTCGTTCTCCCTGATACCGGGAGAATATGGACTATAGTGCTGGTAAGGGACACGTCGTGACAATAATGTGACCCCTGCGGCGCCATGGACTGACGTTTGCATTTCTGCAGGTAAATTCATTCTCATCACTAGTTTCAGATATATGTTGGGCGTATGCGATGCTCCTTACCACTCCGCTTGTCGTGACTGTCGGGCTGAGTCTGACCATCCCGCTTTCGCTTGTGGGTCAAATCTTCCTGCAGGGACAGTATTCGAGTGCGATATACTGGGTTGGTGCCGCTATAGTGTTTTTGTCATTTCTAGTAGTCAACCATGAGAGTCGGGATGATAAGCTGGAGGCAAACTCGGCGGCCGGGTACGATGCTGTCCCTGGTGACGAGACAGGCGATACCGCTTGATGAAGAGTTTCCATATGGTTTGGGCTAGAAGGGAAACCTTTTACGTCCTTCACACATCGTTATCCTTGATAGACCGAAGACCAGTAATGCATTAAAATTATTAGACGTCATACTAGGGTGTAACACTAATTAGACACTGATTTCCATCGTCCGTTGCCAGTGGAAGAACAATGACGTAGACAAGCAAGGAAAATACCAGAAGGAACGAGATCATTATGATACAGCAAAAACAGTCAAGACTCGTCATCAAAAATTGCCATGAACTCGACAATGTTGAGTAGTCTTGGTATCCCATTAAAGCAATACAAGAAGGGATGACAAAAGGGGAATAAAGAAACAGCCATCACAAGAAGGGGTATGTACGTCATGAAACAAATATGACAGCAACGAAGAAACGCTGTGCAAAGGAGGACCTTGGATCACTTGAGATCTGCAACGAGTGAAGAATATGGTCAGAGTGAAAGGAATGAAGATTGAAATTGAGCCAGTGGTAAGCATACGTGTTGGCTTGTTCCACATCAAAGTTAATATTCATGGTGCTGATGCTCCTGGTGCAGGCTCCAACTTCTTGCGCGCAACAAGGATACTCTTCAAGGAGCCTAACCACTTGGCAAGAGATTCTTCGTCAGGTGCGCATAATCGGTACGATTTGTCTTCGGCGATTATCTGAAGACAGAACTTCTTTGAACGTGAAAGAGGGTCAACTTCGGCGGCTTCGATGACTTGAGACATGGGCAGGATTTTGATAGCGGAATACTCCTATTCATCAAAGTTAGCTTGTTGCCCAGTCTCACTTGAGAAAACATTGTATAGGGCTATCGTACTTGCTCATCCTTATAGAATCCAAGGCTCTTTGGCCTCAAGACGACCCACAGACGCTTCCACTGGCGCACTGCGCCTTTGATTCGAAGGCACTGGAGATAGCCGTTGCAAATAACTCTCTCTGGATCGCGGAGGATCCCCAAGTCCTGACTGCGACCAACATCTCGCGGTTGGAGTTGTTGTCCACCCACAGGGGCCGATGTAGACAAATTCTGCAGGGAACGGTTGGGCTTCATGTGAGTACTGGTGTTGCTTGTAGGTCCATCAGACCACTCCGAATATGACGTAATCTCATTTCCCGAGTGGTCCTGTAAGGAGCCGTATCGATTGGAATAGCGGCCAGGTGAAAGTGACCGTCCCAATTCAGGCGAGCTGGCTCTTCCCGGATATTCGAATTCCGAGTGATCTGTAGTATCCTCGACGTGCTGCCTATTGGCCGCCGGCACATTTCTATTTCGCGACAGAGCCAAGAAGGCTTCTTCTTCCTCGTCCGCACGAGTTTCAGCACGAATACGTCTAATCCAGTCCTCTGCATCCTTCTCCGACAAAGCCTGGAAGCGGTAATTTTTGGATGGCGAGAATATACCGAAGACGTGTTGTCGAGACGATCGCGGGGATTTGACCGGAGCAACCGCTGTGACTTCCGAAAGAGTTATGGAAGCCCGAAGTCTTGTCGCTTCCTCATCTTTATAGACTGACAGGAGGTTCGGGCGGAGGACGAGGTAGGCGGGCTTCCAAGAAGCTCGGAATGCCTAAAAGAGGCTATTAGTTAGGACATAACAACTAGTGCTTCTGTAACGAAAGCGACTTACATGCTTGTGTTTCACTCGACGATGCACTTTCCCGGTTTTCAAGACTCGATCGAATTCAAAGCTACCATTTTCGTTGACTGGAGAAAATGTGTCCAAGTTGACATGGCCATTGCGAAAGGCGGGGGAAGGGTGTATAGGCCGTAAAAATGTAGACTGCTGGACAGTGCCGTCGGGAAACTGAATCGAGGGGGCTTTCATATGCGCCTCCGAGATTGGCGGGCAGGAGCTCGACATTGTTTGATCCATCGTGGTCGCAGACTTCCTTTCAAAGGACAAAATTAAGATTATGAAAAGTCACGAAGGGTTTAGAACGGAGACCACATGCCCAGGACGCAAGTTGAAGCGAAAAGGTGCGTATGATGAGGATCCTAATTCAAAATTGTATGACCGCATCTAAAAGACACTGCGGGACAGGTCCCTATGAAATACAAGACGGGCACCTGAGAACGTAGGCAGAAACGATGGGAATATTTCTGACTAGTTCCCAGGTGAAGGGCAACTTTCTGTCTGATTGTCTGAGAGGCAAGATAATTGACGAGACAGCGTCACAAGGACCGACGGTCCCTCGGACGTCCTAGGAGGGGTGAAATTAACCCCCGAACTGAAAGAAATTAAGATGCGGCGATGACGGTCGTGTGGAGAAGAAGACCTTAGAAGGTGCAGAATGCGCTGCACTTAATGAGGGACGGCCCTCTCTTGTTTTCAGGGTTGTTCGTTATGATGAGCTGTAAGTAAAGAGGAAATGTATTGGGGAACAATTACCCTTTCTCGAAGGAAGTTCCTCCATCACAGTCCCATGGAACGCATGGGCGGCTTTTAATGAGTACTTGGTAGATCATCCGACAGGAGATGCTTCGAGGTCTGGGACGTCGGGTGAAGCTGCTACAAGATAACTACTAAGGAGCAAACTACTTACCTACTTGAGGTGAGGGCGGCAACTCCTCCCGGTCCTGAATCAAGCTTTGTTTCGAATCGACTCCTTTTCTGCTGATTGATTGGACTTGAACCTGCTTCGCCGTCGACGAGGGAAACATTTATTCCATCGCAAGCTTCACTGATCTGGTATAGAATCAACCTGTCGTGAATGACCTCTACGTTACTTACTCTACTTCACACTTCAGTATCGGCTGTACTTGTCTTCTCAGGGGCGCATACCTCTTCTTATGCATAAATGGTGCTTGATTCGGTAGTAATAGCTTAATACAAGAGTACCTAGGCTGGTTACTAAATAGATGCTTTTAGTGGTCAACCAAAGAGGATATTATTGGATATGACCCCCTTTATTTCTAATTCTGGATGCAAGTATCTCAACTACCTGCCTGAGTGGAAATTTGGGTAAATTATAGATCGCCTTTAAGAAAAAGAATAATAGCAAATCATCTCATTCCACCTCTTGGGATTGTACATAGTAGATTTGGGCTTGTGTTTGAACTCCCAAGGACAACACAGTAAGTTCTGACTACCATTTCTAAAAACAACGACGTACTAACAACGGTCCAGACCCTTCGCTGTCAAGGAAAAAAGGGAGGCGAAAGAGGCCACCTTGACAGATCCTTTAGACCAAGTGTCACGTGACTGAAGGGTTCGACTTCTGGGAGGTACCTGAGTTCTATCTTCTCCATAGCCTATTACCGTACCTTTAGCTTAATGTACGTGAAATACCAAGATATGAGGTAAGGTAAGGTAAGGTAGGTACAGGTACCTAGGGATGAACTCCTCATTCGGTGGTACCTGAGGGAAGATTCCTCCTGTCGGGACTGTCATTACTTTACATTTCTTTCTGTATCATCAGGCTGGTAGTCCATCATGAGCACACCTAAGGTAGGTAGGAGTACAGTAATGAATGGAGGACTTTCTTGAGATGATAGATACCTTAGTCTTCAGGCAAGCACAAGCACTCACAACACACTACTCGCTGGCATGCCAGAATTGTGGGAGAATCTGCTGATCAATAATACGGTCCTCGATGTACAGTGTACTCCCTTGTACCTCTGTAATTATCAGTGGTGTAGGCGAGTCCACATGCGCCTACATATGCATGCTTCAAAGGTCAAAGATTGCCAACCAGCTAATATGAAATCTCCGTAATCGATCCTGCATGGAGAGTTCGAAGTATCATGCGCCGTATACTCCAAGAAGTACGTGGTTGGATATTGGACAGACGAAAGCTCTTCTATAGCAGAATATCGCAATCAGAGAGAAAGGTGATGTTGATGTCTTGATTCTATAATTACCAGTCATTGACGATCTGATTCATCTCATCCTTTATATGAACATCGAATGACTCGGTAGTGATACGATACCTAGGTAAGGTGCTGATCTGCTGTAAACTCAGGAAGAGTCGAAGAACATGCCTGTTCCTGGAGGGTCGTAGGTAGATTATCTACTCCGTACTGCCGGTGGTATTACGGCTTGAGCCGCTTGTAAACTTACCGTTCTGGTGTGACTGTGACCAGAGCGAACGGCTTGCGCCTCCTTGGGCTTGGCGGAATCTCCCAAATCTCCCATCCCCAAAATCATACCCTCAAACCTTCGCCCCGTCGTTGGATGCCTCCCGCAATTTTTCCACCTCCCCATCCAATTCTTCCCCCCAACCCCATTTGTGATTGATGACCTAGTCGATTACCCCCGTGTCTTCGGCCTCACTGCTTAGGACAACGGTCCCCTGCGTTGCTTTCAACGCTTTTCGCACCTGCTCGCAACAGGTCGATTGAAGAGGGAAAAGTTGGAAAGAGAAAGGAGGTTCTCCTCCGGCCACTCGTTTTTTTTTGCTGGTCTTTTTTTCCTTTCTTGATTGCGGACTTATTCTTACCTTGTTCTATACTCTTCTATTCCCATTCCTGTCCATATTTCTGCGATCTGCAGCTGGTATACATCCATAAGCCTTCGACTCCCTGTTGTCTCGCGTGCGGATTGTTGCAAACCAGTTCAGCATCTATCCTCTGCTCATCAACCACGGCTCTTGTTCAGACTAGGCTGCTCGTCCGGACTCGGACAGAGCCTTGAATCTACCGCTGGAACCTGACATTGGTGTTTTGCGTCGACTTGTTCGAAGTCGACGCAGCGTGGAGACACTGCCATCATGAGCTTCATTCAGCGTATTGTGAAGCGGTTGCCCTCAACGCCGAATCTACCCTTCGATGACAGCTCACGCGAAAAGGCTCGGAATTTCTCCAGATTCGCTTTCCTGAAGCGCAGGATACGATTAAAGGGCAACTCGTCGATTTCCATACCCCTAGGCTTTGTTCTGTTATTTCCGTGCCTTGTGATTACCCTCATTCTACTCTTGTTCGTACGACATCCAGCCTCTCCTGGCGGGATCCTCATTCCAGCAGGCACTCCGCCCTCGATCAGGTTCGACTCCCATCAACAGCCCCTTCATTGTACCAATCCTCAAAGCTAACGTGCCATTCTTTGCTACAGGAGAATAAGTGAGAAATATGACAAGGTCTTCGCTACTGGCTGCTTGCCAGTTGAAGAGGTGCCCCCTGACTATAAACGGGCGAATGCTGCGTTTGTCGTTCTCGCCCGTAACAAGGAATTGGAGGGTGTCGTTCAGTCACTGAAATCCATCGAACGTCACTTCAATCGCTGGTACCACTATCCATATGTATTCTTGAACGACGGCGACTTCGACGATGACTTCAAGGCCACCGTCAAGAATTACACCAGCGCCCCTGTGGAGTTTGGCAAGATCGATGAGACCATGTGGGGTTTCCCCGACTGGGTTGACCACGAGGTTGCCAAGGAAGGTATCAGAAAGCAGGGAGATGCTGCAATCATGTATGGAGGCATGGAAAGTTACCATCATATGTGCAGATTCTATTCTGGGTGAGTGTCTCGCGGTTTGTTGTGGCTAGCTATGATTGACGTGGCGGCAGGTTTTTCTACAAGCATCCTCTCCTCATGAAGTACGAGTGGTACTGGCGTCTTGAGCCGGAGATCAAGTACTTCTGCGATATCACATAGTACGCATAGCACTCCCGTCTTTGCAACTGGCCACATCCTCTAACTAGCAATAGTGATCCTTTTATCATGATGGCCGAGGCTAATAAGACTTACGGTTTCACTATCGCCGTCAAGGAACTTCGCGAAACTGTACCCAACATCTTCCGCTACGCGTCCGCCTATATGCGAAAGAATAATTTCAAGTCGAAGGGGCTTTGGGAGATGTTTCTTGAGAGGCCTGAACAGGAGGAACCCAAGCCGGAAGAAGAACAGAAGAAGGACAAGCTTCCCGACGAGATACTCCTTACCGATCCGGGCGAGAATGCTCTTCCTGAAGTTGATCCAGAGGCTATGGAGGGCGAGAAGTACAACATGTGTCATTTCTGGAGTAATTTCGAAATCGCACGCCTGGATTGGTTCCGCAGCAAAGAATATGAAGATTTCTTCGAGATGATGGACAAGAGCGGGGGCTTCTGGATGGAGAGAGTAAGTTCGCAATTGGTTCGTGGTCTTTATTTGGCTGGACTGACACCTTTTTTTAAAACAGTGGGGTGATGCGCCTATCCACTCGCTAGCCGCTGGCGCTCTCTTATCTCCCAGCGACATCCACTACTTCCGTGATTTTGGCTATCGTCACACCACGATCCAACACTGTCCTGCAAATGCGCCTGCGCGACAACTGCCCCGAATTCCATATCTGGAAAAGACCACGTTGGATGAGAAGGCGCGAATCGAAGAAGATGAATACTGGGCGACTTTTGACGCCGTCAAGGAGAACGGTGTCGGTTGCAGATGCAGGTGTGATACTGATATTGTGGATGTTGAAGGCAAACAAGGCAGCTGTCTCGCCGAATGGGTAGAAGTTGCTGGAGGATGGGCATCTCCATAGACCTGAATTGCCCGTCAATGTACTCTGTATAATGTTTGCAACACCCTTTCCGTGCCTACTTGTTCGATTATGAGCGCTACTTGGGTCGTCCTGGGAGTTTTTTGCTTGGGCCTGCAGACTGTGTTGGCCGTGGGGTTCTTCTGGACGGCGTTTAACGGATCTGACGACTTCTTATACGGAAGACGGTGTGACACCCTCATATTGACATATTCATCTAGCGTGCTTCGTACATCTTGTTTGGATTGCCACGTCCTATAATTCGTGTCGAAATCTTTATCTCCTTTCAGAGAATGCCTTGACCGACTTTCCGAAGAGTTGTCTTTTGCGCATCACTGATCCGACTCTTCGACGATGCAGCTCTCAAAGCTGTGGCTCATGCGCCGCCAACGACGGACTCGTGTAGAGTCTTCTTTCCGCAGGCTCCTGTTACCAGACAGATGTCTTGGAGATTCTTGCTTCGGCCGGCCGCGGTTTTGAGCGAGTGCTGTTCTCGATCGCCATTCCCTGAAGCCGCCAAGAGAGCATTCTTGGCAACAGTGTGGGAATAGTCATTCAACAATATGGCCATCTCGGACTCTCGAGGCCTAGCTTTATATGTGAACTGAGGATGACACAGCGGCGATGTGACCGTTATTGAGGCTTCCGATATCTAATCCTTAAATTCCTACCTCTTTTCCCCATGCCTCTTGATATTGATATTTGTCTCCCTGTCTCCTTTCAACCCAGTATCACCTTCTTGTTTCTGCCCTTCTGCATTTAATTCACGACGACTGTACATATTGTTCCCCGTGGGCCCCCGTTGAGGCCCCTTCATATGCGTCATTGAGTCTCAAATAATACACTGAGCATGACTTGTCCATAGAACATGAGCTAATCCATCCTTGTGACGTTTCCCAAGATCGAATCAACTGTAAGCTTGTGCGTATCGTTGTGATCATGCATTTACAGAAAGGACTAGCCTCCATCCCCGGAGCAATTCCTTCCGGAGACGAGTAAAGAATAGGAAGAGGATGGCATGTTAAGGGGCATTCGAGTACAGGTTAGATACAGATACCCCGGATCCAATTCAAAATGTTATCCAAGTGTTCAGTAAAGTGGAGGGCCAATCCTCCATATTACGTATGGACCTCTGGCCCTGACATAGAGGTCCTGCATAGTCTAGGCCTGTTCGGGTTTAGCCGTTATCGTTATCAGTTGTCCAACGATAATAACGATAAACGACTGAATGATGATGTCTCATCCTGATGGTTAACACCACATGATGAGGTAACTGCAGCCTTAATATCTAATTGCTGCCTAGAGCATACTGGACCTAAAGTACCTAGTGAACTTCCACCTGACTTCGATAATCCGGTCCCTGTAATTATTGACACGGACTTTGTAGTACCCAGTCATCCGCTGTCATGTGCCCCGCCCGCCTTTGGCTATTCTTGCTATCTACATTGACAGGCACAATCCGTTCCCCTCACCTACTAAAGTAATCGCTGCTTTTGAGATAATCTATCAAAAGGCCCCTCCATACACTGATCTACTCTTTCTTTTACGTAGGACAAGGGTCTCCATCTTGGATTTTTACATCATTCAACTGACTTCTGTGCCTCAGTGCACCTGACTTCTCCTCCGCTTAGCCGGGAAGCGTCCTCTCCGCTGCTATAGTAATCATCGGGCATCCGCCTATTAGGCAGAGTTGATCTGGGGAGTTCACTGACAAACTGTCCTTTATCATTCTCAGATAGAACTGGGCAGAGCTTCCCCTGTGAAGTTAACGTATCCCCCCTTTCAAATCTGTCCACTAGACTCAGTCTTCGTTCTCTGTACTCGACCGAGACTTCGCAGTCCACCTCATTGATATAACCATCTCTGCTCGATGACAACCGCACTCTGAAAATATGGCTGACTCTCCAGAGCCCTACTCCAGACGTCCCTCTGTCTCAGGCACGCCTCACCTCCAATATCCAACGTTCCCACCGCTAAGTGGTTCCGTTGAAGAGTGGTTATCACGATCGAGACCTACAAGTATGACGTCAACTCCAGCGGCAGAACACACCAGCAGATCGTTGAGTGAAAGTTGGGCAGCCTTGAGTGCTTCAGACGCCCATTCTGAGGATGGCACTCGTTCTGAGCAGACTGACGCGGGGTCTCTGATTGATCAGACCGGCCCAGACGACGTTGCGAGTCTTGATGACCAGTACAGCTGCAGCGAGGCCGACGCGGTTGGCGAAGATGACACTGATGAGGAGGAATATAATCAAAAAATCAATAATTCTGAGTCTCAGGAGCTTCCTTCCCTGTTTGCTCAAACGGATGATGCCATCGACGGTAGTAACCTTACCGCTAAGACGGCCTTTTATCAATCGAGCGAGTCCATTCAATTCGTCGAACCTGAGCAATGGCCTGAAGCCGAACGAGTAGAGCTGAAACACACTATCCGGGTCATTGACAGCCTTGAGTCCACAGAACTCCTAGAGCATCTTGGTTGCGACTATCAAGACTCCCTCCTCACAATCACAGTCCAGCAGACAATGACAAAAAGAAGCCTTGACACCGAGAAACCGTTTCGTGTGCTGTATATTGGACACTCCGATTATCGCACTATCATACTTGACAAAATTGGTGATGTCCTGGTTTCAAGCTCATGCAGCAGCTATGAGAGTAGCTCCACAGAGTCTTCAAGATACCATGTCGTTCCCACTGCATTTGGTGCAGGGGCCGTACCAAATTTTGCAGAACTCCTTCCGATCCATGTGCAGCTCATTGTCGACGAGTGCGTTCAGGCTTCTTCCGACGCTCAGACCGAGGATTCTGGCGCGATCAGCATGATATTCAAGAACCGGCCCCCATGCACATCTTCCTGGAGCGGATTAGACTACACCGTCTCCTCCTCTTCAGAATGGGCACTCCCGGACGTAGCCATTCTTTTCCTTTCGACCATGGACACTCTTGATGCTGTGGAAACGCAAAAACTAGCTCGTATCTTCATGGAAAGACATGGTGTTCCGACTTTGATGATCTCAGAGAAGCCGCTGTGGAAGATGGTGAGCGAGCCAATTCCTCTGAACTACCACAGTCTTCATATGTGTCTGGAGTCTCGCCATCCAACTACTGGGAAGAGTACAGTACTGAGGAGGTACCCCATCGATCTGAAGACTTTCGAGAGCATTACTCCTGGTCAACTCAACCGGAACCTGGCTTCTCTAGCAGAGGTCTATCCTCGAGTGCCATCCAAAACCCGACTCCACCTATCAAATTCTCCAGAAGGAACGGAAAAGCGATTCTTTAGCACGGAGATCTTCAACAGGGCGATTTCTGGGGTTTACTACCGAAATGACGACCACGACTGGACGCCCCTCCTGCGTTTGAGTATCATGACAATCGTTTTCATGACAGCTATCACGTTGTGTTATTCGGCTTTACAGGTTACTACTGTATCCCTCTTACATTTGTTCTCTCAGCCTACCTTTTCAAATACCCCATCTCCTGCTGTAATGACAAGCCCCTCCAGCCTTCTTTCCATGGGAGGACTCGGACAGACTTCCCTTTCAGCACCGTCCGCATCCGCGGAGGAAGTACAGCTGCTCACCAGTCAATATTTCGGTCGATCTCACTTCGGGAACATTAATAGTGGGGTTGCATCTGGTCCTGCGCAGGAGGCGAAATCGAACCATTTCCAGATACAGGTAGTCGGTGATTGTCACCTTATTCTAAAGCCTCCGCGTACGTTCTTCAGTATGAAGAAGCAACCGAAATTCGATGTCCAAATCAGCAGGAACAATGTTTCTCTTGCTTACGAGTTCTCCAAGCTATTCGAAGGAGTGTACACGCTGAGATTGGACAGAGGAGATGCTTATGGTGTCGTCGATATCGTCATCACTGCAGACACAAAGCCATTCCTCAACCAGACCATGTCAGTTGATTTGGGAACACCCTGGCTCAAGATCGCGAGCTGGAAGCGAGCGGCGCAAGCTATTTCATCCCAACTTGCGCGAGACTTGAATTCGGCGCACACCGGTCTGACAGGGGCATATAGTCGATTGTGCACCGATTTGCAGTTGATGATGGGGGATGTGGTTAGGAAGGCGCATTTCTTGCGACATGAAGCTGATATAATTCGGCAAGGCTCTGCGCAATTTTCTCTCGAGACGAGAGTCGCAGTTATGTCTACGTCAAAGCAACTTTCAGAGGTCGTGAAGCGGACTGCTGTGCAACCATTTCTGGCAGCCTCATCTGTGATACAGAGTCACACAGACAGATTCAGCAGAGAAGCCAGGGGGTTGATGGGCGACACATGGAACAAAGTCAGCACCTCTGCCCGAAGTCTTGATCTTGAGACCTTCAAGCGCCAAATGCGAAACGCTAGGAAATGCGACGCTTTGGATAGGGCTCAGAGAAGAGTGAAGAGTCTGATGAGGCGAAAAGCTTCCCCCCACCTGGGAGATTCCTCATAAATATTGCAGTCGGCGAAATTTGGCGTCTATAGTTCATTACTTTTTATTCTTCTTTCCGATTGTCCTGCTATCTTGTTTTGGGAAATCTTTCAGGCGATAGGGACGGACGGATAGTCATAAGCACGGGTTAACAGGGTTTATGAGAATATGGCTTATCTGATGACAATTACTGGAACGATTGCTAATTTACGCTTTTCACGCATCCATCCTGGCAAAACAATCAGGCTGGGAATTCCAGGACTGTCATACATCATCTGTGCTTTGTAGTCCGTAGGGAATGGCCTTGAGCGGTGGCACTAGTGGAGTAATTTGTAGCCTTAGGCTACACTGCTGGGGGCCCGGGCATGATTATTTTGTGAGCGGGACTAACTCCCCACCTTTTGCAGGCCCTGAATCAAAACATATTTTGCCTCTCCCTTTCACTGCCTTCCACCACAAATAAAACTTTCTCTTATCTGAATAATAGGTAAATAGTCCTTCGCTTCACAACTGCAAACTCCAACTTATAAAACTCCTAGAAACCCAGATCCTTCCACCATGTCTGACGTCGCTGAA